TACAGTTCATATCTCTTTAATTTTACGGACACTCTCAAGAATCTATTTGTTTTACGTTCAAATATGATTATAATTTACTTGAGATTCTTTTAAGACAATACATACGTATTTCGTTATGTGTCCTTTAAATGGACGACATCGAAGGTTAGAGAACTAGGAAACTTAACTTGCAGCTATTAACAAATAATAATTGTTGAAATTTTATTTAGACTTTTATATTCCTATTGCAATATTATTTGTACGGGCTAAAAGGTTTCCAAATGAAAAAATCCTTGATTGTGAATTGGTACAATAAAACTGGGTAAATAGGTTTAAGAAATGTCAGGTGACAGTTTTGCTGATAGACCGATACCAGCGTTTAGCAGCATCCGTCTACTTGTGAACATGAGTGCATGGACAATTTACATCACAGATGAGTGTCTTTTTACCTTTTTTTTTGTTTTTTTTTAAATAAATTTTCATTCATGGTACCTACCTTTAGCAAGTGCTCTCATGTTTAATACGGAGATTACAATAAAATAAGTACTAAATTGCAGATTTTGAGTGATATGGATGCTATTAAAGTGACCTAAAATCTCTACTGCTTTGATATGGTCCATTCCATTTAAAAAGGTACATAGGATTGTACGTATGAATTCTTGCCTCATAAATACTATTAAAAAAATTATTCCTCTACAAATTGTATGGCTATTGTTTAACCAACATAAATATTTAAGTGCCACATTAAAATGCCGAAATCAAGGAAAATATCATCAAAAATGGACTTGTCCCTAAGGCTAAATGTTGAAATTTGATTTATTACAAAAAGTTGATAATGGATATGAGATTTAGGCGGTGCAAACTATACGGGGCGCGTAACAATGGAGTTCGGTACAACGAAAAGGGAAAAGAGATACATAATCTATGAAGGATACATGTACCTCTTTGCTAAGAACCTTAAACTCCAAAACTGCTCATTATGACTGTGTCGAGCGAGAAGAGCAAAGAAGGATCCATTGGCTCTTAGTTTAACATGCAATGCCAGGATCTGGGTCAACGATGACAAGGTAAGATTAGCTAAACCGAGCACTGATTTTGGAAGTGCAGATGGTTTCCAGTTCCAAAGCCCTTAATTGGGTATTTTATTAGTTAGGATATCGTCTTTTGACCTTTTGACTTTTTTATACGTAAGTTTCATCGTTGCTTATACCGTCGTCTAATGTCAGTTTTTAGGTTCGGCCCTCCCTTGCAAAAAATGTAGTTTATCAACCTCTTCAAATTTCAATTTTACTCTGCAACCAACCACGGATATGGTTGTTGGCTTTTCCAGTTTTACTGCCCTTTTGGATTTTTAATTGTTTTCCATCTATTGTAAGTTTTATAGCTATGGTCTCTCCTCAATTATCTCTACCATCTTGTAGATCAGATCACCTGAAGATGACCGTTGGTCGAAACATGTAGTGTATTACTTCGTTTTATTAAATTATATGGGAACGGTTTAGAGAACTTTTATTCAATATTAATAAATTATCCCATTTAGAGTTTGAACACAAAATGGATGTCACGATTCCAAATTATACCTTAATATTGAAAAATTTTAAATGTAGGTATACGTCTATTACATGCACAAAGTAATAAAACGTGATATTGGTGAGTAATATTGGAGATTTCAAGCTCTGAGTTAATTTAATACTTCACAGCCGACTTTCTATGTTAAAAGTCAACGGTACACAAAATACCCTCTCGGGGAGCGAACAAATCACAAAGTAAATAATAAGTTTTTATACTGGTAGCGCTATCTAACGGTAAAATTATAGCACCTCCGAAACCCATATCGAAATTATTTTCTTCAATTATCGATCTCATAAGTAATCTAACTCAAAATAGACTAGTGCCTGCACATCTACACTATAGCAGAAAGCTTTTTGTGAAAATTTGAATTCTCTAGCTATTGTAGTTGCGGAGAACTCACGCGGACAGCCGGCCTGCCAGCAATAACGAATATAATAGCGTATTTTTTTCAAAAATGCGCTCAAAATCATCCGACCAAACCTCATTTGTTTAGTGGAACACCCTGTATATCTTAATTTGTATTGTCTTGTATGTTCTATATTGATAGTAAGTAGAATAGTACGCAATTTAAGTTATAAAAATCACAAATTGCAAGATTAACATGAATTAAATTAAATATAATTTAACAATATAAATAAAAATCTGTATAAATATAACAACAAAAATTACGAAAAATATTTTTTATTTAATCCAGGAGTCATCTAAGCAATAAAATGTATATTCAAGTCAGAATTTAAAACGATAGCATATTAAATATTCTTTTCAAAAATATCTAAAAATCGGGATAAGTTCCAAACTGCATGTTTTGCTGATAAAAGTTTTATGGCACAAACTGGCCTAAACGTTGTACTAACTGATCCGGCCTAGTTTCAAAATTTGACCAAAAAGTGGGTATTTTCTGGTTGATAGAACCTCTAAAAATGCAAGTTTTTACACAGTTCGTTGTTTGGACAAACTTTTTACTATACATGCCGACACAAAGATTGCATTGACCAATACACACTTAGCTTCAACATCGTAACAACAAAAGTGCGTAGCAGAACATCTAAAAATTGGGATAACTTGCCACAGTATACAGGGTGAATCAACTGTACGCGGTATCAGCCAATGAAGTTCTTTCGAGATGCGTTTTATTGGACGATTACGTGCCACATTTTGATTGTAAAAGATAAATTTAGAAACGCTTTAACCAAATTTACACTTTTCCAGTTATCTTCCATCTTTTCCTAAAGAAAGAATGTTAAATTTGGTAATAAAATTTACAATCTTGCATAGTGCCCGCATGTTACACTAATCAGGGCACACGCAAGCTGTATGCCCCAAAATGTTGCGATTAATTTCTCCAATAAAGTTATTTTTAGAGAAGCTGTTTACTTTAATTAAGCTCGTAGCTTGTTTATACAAAAGAATTAATCCCGTACCGTTGACAACTTCCCTAATTTTAAATACAATCTTCCCGATTCCCTAATTCACCTGTTGATATTTATAGCGCACACGTTTAAATTATACGGACGCTTTTAATTAGTGCAAATTGTGTAATCGATACAAAATCGCTCGTGATAAATTACGGGGACGACTAACAAATAAACGTGACACGTTCTGTTCATCATTCAGGCAACAAAATAAAGCTTTGTACCCCATCCTGCAGATTGCTCACGTTTTCAATAAATTTTTTTTGCCGCGGTATCCGATGAAGATTTATTTTGTTATCAAAATGGAATCGAGTTATACAATTACAATTTATTGGGTTATTGATTATCATAATAGGGGAAGAGGGAGATAATCTGGCACGTTAAAGCTTACCAACCAATAAAATTGTTTGGACACGGTATCAGTAAAACGCGTACGTTTAATCAATTAACTTACAACCTTTTAGGCTTATATGTGCTGTTATTTTGTAAGTGGGGTGTCAGTTAATTGATTACTATAAGCTTATCAGAGTGACAAACATTTTCCTGCATGAGTGTAAACAGTTGCAATATTGCAACTATTTTGCGATAAACGTATTTAATTACTTTAATTAATTATATTCCATTAGGCACCACAGTTTGTCATTGTAACCGCAATCATGTCATTATCATTATTATAAAGATACTACGAATACGATAGTTACGGCGTTTATGTACACCAATTGATTGCCGAAAAGAAGTTTGTAGTTTGGGGTAAACATAAACCCTTTCCTTTCAGCTTTATCGACTAATAACACCAAAGTAAGGTATATGGATTGGTAAAGGGACTAATTTTCTATTCAGTGAATACTGGAAGACTTGTGGGTGCTGCAGTAAAATAATCAGAAACAAACCCTAAAAACAAACAACTTTAAAACAACTTTTAATTAAGGTTTTCGTATGGCAAATAAATACTTGAATGAAAAGATTGTTGGTATATAAAAGATAATTAAATCAGAGCTCTTATTTAATTTACAAGAATAGTCTCTAATTGACTTGGTTACATTTTTATTTAATATACATATCAACATATAGTTATAAGGCAAGTCCCTCTGTCATTCGATTCCACTATTGTTTTCCTTTTCTTGAGCTAGCAATAATAATTAATATATAGGATGAAGGAATTCTGTGCGAGGGCATTTAAGAGGGCTCAAAAAGAGTTTGAATGGCACTACTCTTTATACACTGTGATGGTAGGTAAACTACCCTGTATGTAAACGGAGAAACACGTGGCAACATTAGTTTTTTTTATGGGCCCCGTTTTGGATTTTGACATTTTGAGATTAGGTTTTTTTTTCTCTTTACAACGATATATCACACATGGTGGTTCAGTATCACATTTTTTCTAAAAATACAATTTTCATTTTCTGCGAAGAGTGCTATGCAAAAACAAACCGTTGTTTTGTTGTGAACAAAATGCAGTGTCATTTACGTTTGTGCTACTTTTATCGCTAAAATATTATTTATTCTTATGTATTTTGTTCTAATTTGAATCATAATTTTCTTTTAAAACGAAGGTTCAATTCTGTTCATATGAAAATCGAATTTTCTCAACACATCTAGTTCCCTGATGCCAATGCTGCAACCGTACATATGCATCAAACTGTCAAACTTTTGTTCACAATAAAAGAACGTTTTGTTTTTCCAAAGCACTCTTCCCAAAAAATTAAAAATTGTATTTTAGGAAAAATGTGATACTGAACCACCATGTGTGATATATCGTCGTAAAGAGAAAAAAAGACGTAAACTTAAAATCTCAAAATTAAAAATGGTGCCCATAAGAAAAACTAAAGTTGACACGTGTTTCTCTGTAACCTTAAAAGTTATTTAAAACGAGATGTCACATTCGAAATCTCAATTGAAAAGTGTTCGAATAATGTGTTAATTAAAAATGTCTAGTACGACTAGTTTGTCATGAAAAAATTAAAAACGAAAATCAGAAAGTTTCTTTTTTTTGCGATATTTTCAGAACTATTGATGATATTTTAAATTTCTTTTCAGATGGTTATTCAGCAGGGAAATTCGCAACTTTGCCCCCATTTAACCAACTTTCTATCTCTTAAGGTAAGCGAGATCTCCATAGTGGCACTCGAAAAATGGACACCGTGTATAAGAATCTTAGTAAGTAGGTTAGCATGTAAGCAAAATATTATAATGTAACCCCAAACTAGTGGCTTTGTACAAAAAATTTCCCGAAGGACTTTTGGTGTCGAAACCAACCGCTTTACCCTAAACGGTACACTATTGGATAATGGATGGGTAGTTCCATACAACCCCTACCTTATCCAAAAATATAACCCGATACAGGCGCAAAGCAGTATTTATACTGTGAAATCCCTTATCATTATGTCTGAAAACCGATGTTAGGAAAAAACACCCTGGAAAAGTAACCCCGGAATAAAAACCCGTATAAAAAAATGCCAGGAACTTAAACCCGATCAAAATTCAAATACAAAATAATTTTTTATGCAACTGCAAATTTTATTATTTTCAATATTCATTAAATCTTTTCTTCCCTTAATCCTGATATAAGCATTCACATTCCCAACGAGTTTAAATGGGTAATTCGGGACCGTGCGGTGCAGAGATGCCGATTTGTTGTTGTCATATTAAAAATAGTTCATTCTTTAATAATACCTCACCAAATCCCCGGAAGACGCAGGCTATCATAAATTATTTTTCAGTATGTGGATTTACTTAAGTTATTTAATGATTTTTGATACAATAAGTTGCTTTCACATAACCAACAAAAGAATAACGTTTTTTTCAACGCAAACTAGTGAAATTATTAATTTAATTTTAACACAATTATTTTCCTTAACTGGGATTTTTCTCTTCAATTTGATTACTTATGTAATGTAATCAATTTTTTATTCTGCTATATCGAAGAAAGTGTACCTCCTCTTCAAGAATATGTAATGAAAACTAGTGGTTGCCATTAAAAAAAATAATAAACCCCCCTTCACAACGCAGAAGTACGCCACTGACCACAAATTTGAAGTGCGTAGATTGGTAGCAAATTTTTATAATTTAGGATAAAAAAAAAACGTTGTTTTGAAGATATAATATTCAGTGTTCCAAACAAAATGTTTACCCTGTGTTACCCTTTTCCATGAAATCTTTGGATGTTTTAAATTATCTGGGCCAAAACAACTAATTAGTTTATTATTCAAATACTGTTGTAGCTAGAAGAATTTTCCTAAAAATCCCTGTATCTGTCGCAAGTGGCGAGAGAAGTTTTTTTAAAGTTAAATGATAATTTTTCATTAATTTAAGTAAACCAAAATTTAGATATCTGGTATTCATTTCTATTGAATCATCACGAGCTGCCTCTCTAGACAACACGTCCCTTATTGGCGTATAATTAATATAATAAATATAATTAAACTTAAATAAATGAATATTTTAAATAAATTTATTTATTTTTTATAGTGCCGGGCGATACTCATCTCGTCCTTGGACAATGAGGAACCAGATTTACGGGCAGACTATTCTTGACCTACACCAACGGGTAAAATGGAATTCTATCGGCGCTTCGGGAGTGATTTAATTTTAACAAGCCTCACCACCTCCCAACCTCAATTAAAAACCAGCACACACAGATTTTAAAGAATCAATAAAAAATGTTGTAAGCGAAACTGCTTGGAATGCTTGGATGTCTTTGTAGAAGTGTATAAAGTGCTCAAGGTTTTAAGTAATGGTAAAGGTAATGTTTTCCTCTTCCTTTTCTTTTTTTTCATTTTTATGACACGCCCTAATACAATATTACGAGTAGGAAACAATAAAAGGTAATGAATAAGTTATAATAACCACCAGGTGACTGGCTGCACGACCAGTGCCGTCCTTAGAGGGTGGAGCGAGTGGAGCGGCCGCTCCAGGCCTCGCGCTGAAAAAGGTCTCGCACTATGAGGCCTTACTCTCGTTAAAAAATAAATATAAGTTTTGGTTGAATGAATATAATTAATAATATTTTAATATATAAATATACAGGGTGCCCATTATGTATGGGATATAGTATATATCTCGGTAAAGCTTTTTCTATATGAAAGTTGTTTAACATTTTATTCCCATAATAAGGTAGCATTACATTGTTTTTATTTCAGAAAACAAATGAGTAACGAAAAATAATTGATTTTTTTAAAGTAGCAATGCACACTTTCATTAGGTTTGTTTGATAGAGATTTTTTCTCTTTTCAATGACATAACACAGCACTTGTGTAGAAGAAATAAGAAATTAATTTTTATTTTTTGTGATAAGTTATGCTTTGCAGTTAATCATGAATATTTTGAACATTCATTACGATGAAACCCATTTTAATGCTAATTTCGTTTTGTCTTCAAGGTTTAATAAGAAACGTACACGGCCATTTGTTTTATTTTGATGTATGATATCTGGATTAATGTTATTCGTCTAATTATATGATACATTTTTTTGAAAAATTTTTTTGAATAAAGGTGTTATGTTATATCATCGAAAAGGGAAAAAATCTCTATCAAATGAGCCTAATGAAAAGGTGCATTGCCATTTAAAAAAATTCAATTGTTTTTCGTTACTCATTTATTCTGAAATAAAAACAACTGAATGCTGGCTTATTATGGGAATTATTTTATATACACCATGTATAATATAATATATAAAATGGCTGTCTGACTACCCGCGCAATACGTTCAACCATGGAATAATTAAATCCTTCACTCAACGGTTGTACTATTATTGATTGATTAAAAAACCTAGGAACGAAATTTTCATTCGCACGAGATATTAATTAGTCGCGAGCGAAGCCTCGCGCTCGCCGGTGAGTGAGTCATCTTGCATGATCTCCTCCTCTCCCTTTCGCCGCGTAACAGTCATTCAAAGTGCTTAAATTGACAACTTTGCATGTCTAATTTTGCAAACATTTCCGGTGGAGGACCCCCCTCCTCCGGGTGTATTGCATACCCCCTCCCTCCGGCAATCATTGGCCCCGAAAAAATATTTCGCTCCAGGCCTCGCATTTGCTAAGGACGGCTCTGAGCACGACAACCAAAAAAAAGGACGAAGGATGAATAAAAAATACTTCAAGTTGCGATTATAAAAGGAAATTTCAAGTTAAAAATAGAGGTAGAGGTACCTTTAAATTTCAAATTTACCCGTTGATTAAATTTTGAACCAAACAAACGATTCATTGTCGTATTTCGTTTCTGGTGTAGTAAGAAACAGGTTCGAGGTATCCTGAAAAAAGCAGCAAACAAAAGAGACGCAAGGTTTACAGAAAATGAAAATGAAGTAAAAGTGTAAATCGTGGTCAAGCTTTATTTATATAAAGACATCTTTCCTGAATCAGGATTCGTCTTTATGCTCCAAATTGTTAAAGTAATGGTTTTAAAGTACAAATGATAAATAATCACGAAAGCATCTCATTCGCGACTCTATAAAATAACACGTAGTTGTTTAAATTTTCGCTTCAGAATCGCTGCTTGAATTTTTGTGCACCCTTTTAACCCGTCAAATTTCGGAACGTTTTTCAAGTGAAAATATTAATTTAATATTAATATAAAGTGCCTTCCAAGATGTTTGTACGAAATTATTTTTGTGCAGTCTTTATTAACAAATGTTTACTTTGGGTTTCCAATTAAAGTTTAACGTGATAAAAAACTGTCAATTTCAATTTAGAATCGCAAAACGAACATGTATTTTTCGTTTCCACCCCTTAGCATTTCCTGGAGGAGGGGCAGGAAGTGCTGTCTTTCCAGCCCCTAAATAAGAAGAACATACGTGAGATATTTATTGTATAGAAATGTATTTTTTCCTGGCTACCGCTTACAATTTGCTGGAGAGACAGAAAGCACCGTCTTTTCAGCCGCTACATAAGACTTAAGAGGAAAATGGGCCATACATGGAACTTATTATACCTTCACATATACCACTGTATAGTAGTACTAGTTAATAAGAAAATAGTGCCTGTATGTAATATTAGAATTTAAGCAGTAGTACTGTAGAGGTAGGCAATAAACTCGAGTGGTTAGAGAAAGCGTTTTTCCTTCGGACTTCAGGCGAGTGCGAACACAAGCATGATACCTATCCATTCCATAAATGGCTGGTGTCTACTCCGGGAGTGCAGGGAGCGCTCTCTTCCTAGCACTTGCATAAAAAGCCTCTCAAAATATATGGAAATTTTTACTTTCAGGGACGCATTTATAAAACCGTCTGAATATGATAACAAGAAGAAGAAGTTTGCAAGAAAAATTTAACAAATAGAACCACGAACCTCACAGTTCTTTCAACAATTTTACCCACCGTTACAATTTGAAAGTAAATCCCCAAAATTTCTAGTTGTAGGTAAGTAAGACACAATCTTCCGCATCTGAAAAATGTACGAAGGAGAAATCGAATGAATTCCATAATAGTCCAGTCAAATTAGCTCTAAAAGTAGTATAAACTGGATGTTGCCATTTCACTGAACGAAACCCAGCGTATTCTATGTAAAAAAATCCGCTGAATCGGAAAATCATAGTCCCCCCGACCGGAAACGCCCGGAACATATTGTTATAAACAAAAAAAGAAGAAAAAATGGGAAAATGTCGTGTTTTTCACATTTGACTGCCAATATCTCGTTAACTATTGCTCTGAGGGAAAAAATGAATAGAAATGAACTTATTGAGAATAAAATTTTCTATATGATACAGTTGGTCCGGAACGCTGATTTTCAACTGTTATTGTTTTTTAGGGAAAAATGTAAAAACAGTAATCTCTAAAATTAACACTTTGTTATTGTTAAGTAAAATTCGTTCGATCTTTTTGAAAATCCATATTTACTAACTACTTTTGATAACAAAACAATATGGCAAACCAGATCACCGTAGGTTTCATACTCATTGATTAATTAGATAAACATATAGAAAAAGAGATGCTTTGTCTTTCAAACTGGGGGAGTACAAGAGTGTTCTCAATTTTTTTATACACATTATAACCATAAAACAATCTTTTCCAATAATTGTCCCTATGATTCCTGCAAATCGACGGACTGTGCAATTTTTTTTTCAAAATCCGAAGAATTTTCTTAGTTAACAAATGTAATAACTCCCGAAATATAACAAACAAAATATAACTCTATAATAGGCGAAAGTAACGCTCTCGAAAAGCTGTACATTAAAAAAAAAAATATGTCCAAATCCGATTAATAGTTCACGAGAAATCAGCTTTTGACTTTGAAGCCAGTTTTCGAAACTACGAAAAATGATTTTGCAAATCGGGTCGCACCGATCGATTCTTTAGAGCGTGAACTTTTTTCATGCTTGTATTTCACCAAAATGAATGATTTTTATTAATCCGAGTGCCAAGGGCCGATTATAGTTACTTTTCTTGTTAAATTTCGGAAGCTATTCGATTTGTTAGTTAAGTAAAAAAATTCCACAGTCCGTTGATTTGCAGAAATGACCGGGACAATTATTGGAAAAGATTGTTTTACGGTTCCACTATGTATAAAAAAATTGAGAACACTCTTGTACTCCCCCAGTTTGAAAGACAAAGCATCTCTTTTTCTACTTGTTTATTTAATTAATCAATGAGTATGAAACCTACGGTGATCTGGTTTGTCATATTGTTTTGTTATCAAAAGTAGTTACTAAATACGGATTTTCAAAAAGATCGAATGAATTTTACTTAGTAATAACAAAGTGTTAATTTTCGAGATTACTTTTTTACATTTTTCCATAAATAACAATAACAGTTGAAAATGAGCGTTCCGGACCAACTGTATCTTATAGAAATTTTTTTTCTAAACAAGTTCATTTCTATTCATTTTTTCCCTCCGAGCAATAGTTAACGAGATATTCGAAGTCAAATGTGAAAAAACACGACATTTTCCCATTTTTTCTTCGTTTTTTGTTTATAACAATATGTTCCGGGCGTTTCCGGCCAGGGGGACTATGATTTTCGGAATCAGCGGATTTTTTTACATAGGATACGCTTGGTGTCGTTGAGTGAAGTGACAACATCCAGCCCAAACCGTAATTTGACTGGACTATAACAACTAACAACAACAAATATACACGGGAAAAAAATTAAGAAGTAAAATACAGAAATGGAGAAAGGGTTCAACGTCTTCAGCTGCTTTTTGTTGAGAACAAGTCGAGTCAAGAATCCCATAAGAATCAATTATCAAAGATCAACTATAACAGAAATCGATTATTTAATGTTGATCACTTTAAAAGCGTGATTTTAAACGTTGAAGTTTTCATTAAATTACAAGAGTAACTAACTGAAAATGTAATCCCTCTAGAGCAAATGAACGACGTCTGTCCCCAAAAATAGCCGTTTTGATCCCGTGCAAAAAATAAATTAATTACCTTGCTTCGAACTGTCGTGCTCATGGATGCTAAAACGGTTCCTTCCTTCCATTGCCTAATTTCCGAGTGTATCCCGGAATCTTTGGAACTAACTACCTATTTAGTAATTATTTCATTATATTTACGCCTACGAACTTCAATCAACGCCGAGATTCGTGCCATGCATGACAAGCCACTGCTCCAGACAATTAGAAAAGCCCTTAGAGCAAATAATAAAATAGGTTGGTAATGAATAATTTTCAACTTTCCATTAATTACATTTGCTGGATACAATTTGCGAATATTTTCCTTCTCATGTAGCAATAAATGACGGATTGTGATTCATTTGCCAATATAAGACATTTTTGTGGATGTTGCTTTGATAAACATGATACAATACGTGAATATCATGTCGTAGTCGTTTACAAAGCCACTAATTAAGTGTGCCGCATTAACAAGGGGTGAGAAATCGTTACCGAATGTAAAATACACAAATTACGTAGACGCATTCTTTACTGACATTTCGCTCGTAGCATACTAAGTTTGCTATCTTTCGTAGGAAACGTCCTCTCCTTCATTTCTATAATGTACTAAGGGTGCAGTTGTGCTTAGGCTATGGTTGGAATTTACAAACGCCTTGCGGAGTTATAAAAAATTCAATTCCAAATTTCGCTTA